GAAAAAAAAAAGGAAAAGAAAGTTGATCGGGATGATCGATCGTGTTTTAGATAACCGAATACGCCGAACTTTATGATGAAAACATGACGTACCATCGGATTGCTGGCTGGGTTAGATCGCGCTTCCGGTCGCGCTTCGCGCGTCCATTAGCGAGCCGAGACGTTAACAGTTTTAAGAACGCATACAGCTACCGCAATTTCCTCCGCGAGACAAGTGAAATAGAAAAAAAAGCAAACTAAAGGATTAATAGGGAATTCGATGTTATACGTGTTGATATCAGTCTATACATATATTATAAAAGAAGTAAATAAAGTATATAAAATGGATATATAATTAATGAAAGATGAAAAGAAAAAGAGATTTATTGTCGAGGGAAGAAAGTACGATTGATACGTGGGACGAAGATGGGACTGGTTTAAAAGAAAAAAGAAACGGCAAAAAAAAGAAGAAAAAGAAGAGAGAAATGAAACAGAGGATACTAAATAGAGGAAACCTTTAATGAGAATAAGAGAAAAAAAAAGTGGAGAAACTTGTTGTTGGGATGAATTGATATTACGGATTATTATTATTATAATTATTATAATGATTACATATATAAATATACATAAACTCTAACTAAACACTGTTTGTTCGTTAGATAAGGATTGACTTAAAAATGATAAAACGTCGAAAAAAAGTAAAAAATAGCGAGACTCTATTTCTTCGTGTAGACGCGTCTTAATGTTCAGCTTGTTCAAGCATTACGCCGAAATGAAAACGAAACCGCAAAATATTCACAGCTGTGTGTGTGGCTGTCCGTGAGAGGTGTGAATGGAAGCGAATGGAGAATTTCGGACGGGATTACGATGGAAGTGCTCTCCCGAGAAAACTCCACGAAAGTAACGATTGTTCGAAAAGGAAAGGGAAAAAAAGAAAAGGAAAGACACCAGACCCGGTCCCCTTGTGTTCCTTCGCAGACAGTTTCCCCTTTAACGACACAATCCCGAGTAATTACGGCAACGAGGCTGGATCGAACAAGAGAGAATGCAACAGCGATGAACTTGAACGAAAAGAAAAGGAAAGAACAGTGAACCATCATCGAGTTTAATTTGATCCGTTGCGTGTTCAAGGAAGTGCCATTTTCTTATCACAAAACCGCCCGAAATTTCTCGTGTTGATAGGAGAATCCGTACATGATCAAAAGAAGAATAATACTCATCACTGAATCGTAGGTCAGGATTTCGAGAAACGAATCAGCTTCGATTGTTCCGCTCTCGATTTCGAACTAAGTTCGCCGAAAAGAAACAAAAAAAAAGGGAAAAAAAGCAACGTTTCTCTAATTTGACACCTTTGGCATCGTTTGTCGTTCCGTCGTGCGAAAGGATCAATCGATAAACGCAGTTCATTGTAAATATTAGGTCAGTGCATTCGAAATGACACGTCTCCTGCAGTGGCTGGCGTGATGATAATTCGATCGGAACGACGCACGAATTTCATTCTCGTTTCTATAAAAAACCACGTACGCAGCGTTGCCGCCGATGATTAGAATGGCCGGAAAGAAATTTTGTAACTTTAAGCACCCACGTCCTGCGTGAACCGTTCCGTTCTCGTTCAACTGTACCGTAACTTCTGTTTCCCCGCACTGCAATGGGTTTCTACTCGTCGAAATAAATCAAATAAACCATTATGAAACCAACACGTTCGAAAGCCGACATTTCGTATGCGCTGACGTTCTATTTCAAAGGATCGAATAGTTTGTAAACATGTATCACACAAGCAGTCCTATGCTTCAGTACCTTCGCCAAAGAAACCGGAAACGTGTTGCCGATCTCGCGTTCCCTCGCTAAATGATAGT